GAGGGGCCCTCCGAGGGGCCCTCTGTGGGGGCCCTCCGAGGGGGCCCGCCGGCGCCCCCCCCCCCCCCGAGGGGCCGTGGACGGGCCCGCCGAGGGGCCCGCCGCGGGGCGCCGACGGGCCGGCCCAGAGGGGCCGCCGCGGAAGGCCGCCGCCTCGGCGCGCCCCGCCGGAAGCATGCTCCAAATCCCGGAGTGATCGACCCCCCCCTAAAAGAAAAACTGGAGCCCCCTCCCAATGCGACCCAGCATTCCGGACCCCCCCCTTCTTCGGCGGGGCGCCTCCACAAACCCGGGCCCCCGGAGCTCCAACCCAAAGAGAGCGCCCGAGTATACCGGACCCCCCCAAATACCAAGCAAAAAAAACGGGTCCAGGGGACGATGAGTGCGGGATGTTGAATATCATCCCCATCCCCAGCGGCGTGGCCTGGGCCCCACTGGCCGATTTACCCCACTAGATGGGGATACCGGCCGTTCCCTTCGGGTTTCGAGGGGTGTCCCCCACTGGAGGGGCAATTTGGTGGGGGTCTCCACGGGGATGGGGATGGGGGTCGGTTAAACGATACCAGAACCCAAAAATGTTCCAAGAACAGAAGCAAGGCTCTCAGAACATGGGCCCCATGGGTTACAACAAGGCAGTCTCAGCAGTCTCAGCCAGAAATGTTCTAAGAACACTTCGTGGGAACCACAAGAGGTTCTTGGACCATTCCTTGGTAAGCCTGTAGGCACGCCAGGACGCTTCGCCACTGCTTGAGACCTGGAGTGCGCGGGGGCGGGGCGCTTAGCGGGCCCCGGAAACGGAAGGGCCGCTTTCACCGTTTCCGAAAAAAATGCCCCTTGAACAAGGAAACAGCAAAACAAAAACGGCGACCAGAAACGGCGACGAAAACGGCTCCAAGCTTGGAACCGGAGCGGGCACCCGTGAAAGAAGGGCGACGGAACCGATAAAAAACACGGCGGCGGAACCGGCAACAAAAACAGCGCAACGGAACCAGTACAACAGAACGGCCCTGTCGTTCCCAGGGCCCACGGAGGTTAAGTCGGGTCTGTCCACCTACAGGGGGATTTTCGACGAAAAATACTAAACACGCCAAACAAAATCAAACAAATAATCCAAAAATAACCTGGGGACTATTGTGTTGCTGTATTTTCGGTGTGTTTTTGAGAGCATGTTCTATTTTTCGTCGACGACCCCCCTGTAGGGGGGACACGCCCGACATAACACTGAGGCGGGGCGGGGCCGTCCGCAGCGTGGCGTCGATGAGCTCGACGTGCCCAGGGGCGCCCCGGGGGAGCGCGCGCGCGCGGGCGCGGGCGGCGGTGCGCGGACCGCAGGAGGTCTGGCGACGGGAGCGGCTTCCACCACCGCCCAATGTGGTCCTCCTCCTCCTCCTCCTCGCCCTCCTCCTCCTCCTCTTCGCCCTCCTCCTCCTCCCGCCCCCCTCGCCCTCCTCGCCTCCCTCTTCCTCCTCCTCGTCCTCCTCGCCCTCCTCCTCCTCGCCCTCCTCCTCCCCCTCCCGCCCCCCTCGCCCTCCTCGCCCCCCTCCTCCTCCTCCTCCTCCTCCTCCTCCTCCTCCTCCTCGTCCTCCTCCCTCCTCCTCGCCCTCCTCCTCCTCCTCCTCCTCCTCCACCTCCTCCTCATCCTCCTCCTCCTCCTTCTCGTCCTCCTCCTCCTCCTCGCCCTCCTCCTCCTCCCTCCCCCCTCGCCCTCCTCCTCCTCGCCCTCCTCCTGCAGGCGTGCCAAACCAGACCGTCCAGCATTATGACCCCTAGAAGGCGAACGCGGGGGCCTCAGCGAGGCCACGTCTTCATCGTGCTGCCAGGCTCAAGAGGAGGAGGAGGCGGAGGAGGAGGAGGAGGCGGAGGAGGAGGAGGAGGAGGACGAGGAGGAGAAGGGAGGAGGGAGGAGGAGGAGGAGGAGGAGGTTGGAGCGTCTGGGGGGGGCGCGTGTCAATCCAGCCTATCGCCTCTGTGGGCGGGGCCTCCTGCGGCGCTGACCACCGAGGGGCATTTCAACTGCTTGGAGTGCAGCACGAGCGAGCGAGCGAGCGTCATTATCCTTAAACGGCGGAACACGGGTTTTGCTCTCTTGGTGAGCCAACCTGTAAAGATGGAAATAACAGGCAGTGAATTTGAACGTCTCGGGGGAGGGGGTCCAAAAACGGGGGCGCTGAAAGGAGGAGGAGAGGAGGAGGAGGGGAGGAGGAGGAGGAGGAAGGAGGAGGGCGAGAGGAGAGAGGAGGAGAGGAGGAGGAAGGAGGAGGAGGAGGAGGAGGAAGAGGAGGAGAGGAGCAGCAGCAGCAGGAGGAGGAGGAGGAGCAGGAGGAGGAGGAGGAGGGGGAGGGGAGGGGGAGGGGCCCTTTGGCCCTCGAGGACCCGAGGCGGCGGGCCTCCCTCGGGGGGGGCGAGAGGGCTCTGGGGCCTCTGGCGCCCCAAAGGGAACAACTCGGGGCGGCCGGTCGGCCGCCCGCCGGAGCCTGAAGGGCCTGTGAATCGCTGATGGGTCTTGGGTTTACTCTGGTCCTGGTCCTCCTCCTCCTCCTCTCCTCCTCCTCCTCCGCCTCCTCCTCCCTCCCCTCCTCCTCCTCCTCCTCCTCCTCCTCCTCCCCTCCTCCTCCTCCTCCTCCTCCCTCCTCCTCCTCCTCTCTCCTCCTCCTCTCCTCCTCCTCCTCCTCCCCCTTTCCTCCTCCTCCTCATCTCTCCTCCTCTCCTCCTCCCTCCTCCCTCTTCCTCCCTCCTCCTCCTCCTCCCTCTTCCTCCCTCCTCCTCCCTCTCCTCCTCCCTCCCTCCTCCTCCCTCCTCCGCCCTCCACATCCTCCACCTCCTCCTCCTCCTCCTCCTCCTCCTCCTTCTCCTCTTCCTCCTCCTTCTCCTCCCTCCTCTCTCCTATCCCTCCTCCTCCTCCTCCGCCTCCCCCAGCTCCCGGGCGAGGGGGGGAGGAGGAGGGAGGGATGGAGGGAGGGAGGGAGGGAGGGAGGGAGAGCCAGTGTCGGGCTTCGGGACTGTCACCAGCACGACTTGGGGCGAAAACCGGCCTCTGGCCCCCGGGGGAAGGGCAGGGTCACTCGGCGCCGAATCCAGGAGAATCGGATCGCATCGGGACCCTGCGTCGGGTCGCCCTGCGTAGACACGGAACGGACATCGACTTGGATCGGCCGAGAACGGCAGACCCTCTGAATCTGCTGCGCCCTGACCGTCCAGAGCATGAACACATGCAGATCAAACTCCTGACCTTTGGACCTGTCAGTCAACAAAAACCTCGTGGCAAACCTTCGCAAAACAGATTACGTGTTCAAGGCCACTGAGCCTGATATCCCAAGCAAAACCGAAGATTGAGACACACCCAACTGGATTAGGCGGCATGCAACGAGACTATACCGGATGGGGCCGTGTTCGGCAACGGAAAACAGAACAACACATTTTACACACACGCACACACCTATTCGACATCGCCTCTGGCCCCTGAAATGATGTCCCGCCCACCGACCTCCCCGGCATCCCGCGAATCCTCAAGATTCCCAAAGATCCCACGAGGACTCCAATAGGATTCTGACACAATCGGATACCGATCGGGTTCCACTAAGGTCCCAATCGGATTCCAATAGGATTCCAGTCGGATTTCTCTGAGACCCCAAACCGATTCCTATCAGGTTCCAATCAGATTCCATTTGCAGTTAACGTAGATCGCAATCAGACTCCAATTGGATGACAATCGAAACCAATAGGAACCCAATACAGATTCCAGCCAGACTCCATCAAGACTTCCAACAGGACTTTAGCAAGGTCCGAATCGGGTTCCAACAGGATTCCGAAGGGTTCCCATAGGATCACAAGCAGATCCCAATTGAATCCCCACACTTCAAGGTTTCAATCGGATTCCTTCCCTTCCTTCATGCCACTCACCCACCCTTTGCAGGAATTATGCTTCTTCGTGTCTGAGTTTCGGTCCTACCTGTGCAGGGGGGATATCCCCTGGCGTGGTGCACGACTCAGAGCAGCAGAAAACAATGTTCAACAAGGGATCAAGGGTGGAATCTGCATACCCGCACACTCCGGTTCCTTTTTTGGTTTCTCACTCTCTATCTCGTTCTCCTGCGTCGTCGTCGTCGACTACGGCGGTCCCACGCAGCACCCCCCAGCCCACAACCAATTAGGGCATCCGCAGCGCGTCATCGTCGTCGACTAGGCTTGATGGCTCCGGTGGACCTCCTTTTGGATGTTGTCGATGAGAACCCGCACGGGACTCCCTACTCCACCTCGTATTCCCAATGTCCCCCTCCGAAAGTCATTATATTGATTGCTTGGGGTGCTAAACAAAATCGCTCGGCGGCTGCCCCCCCCCTTCGGGAACGAATTCATCAAGTTGAGTGAGAGTGATCCGCCCATGATGCTCGATGGTTGCTGCTTGCGGTCCTACCAGAACCGATGCTGAATCGAACCTCCCAGGAATTACACCTCAATGCCAGGCCTGATTAGAACCTGGACTGCAATTCACATCCTCCAAAGGGTCCTGGTGCTAACTCCTGGACATCCGACAACAGCTCCGTTTCTCGCCCTGCATCCAATCTCGATGGCCCGAGGGCCAGAGACAGGGCCCCCAGAGCCGAAATCGGGAGAACACGCCCAAATCGAAAGCCACAACTCGTCGGAGCTCTGGCCATCGGTCAGAACTCGGACGACTCCGGCACGCCAAGAACGTTCTCGACGAGGCGCAGCTGGTGGAAACTACCCCGGGCTTCGAACATGCAGGGTGTTGCCCCGGGGAGCCGACATTCTGTGAACAGGATGTTCGTGCTCCCGGAAGGCCAGGCTTGGGTCGGGCATGTCACCCTACAGGCGGAGCTGGGACGAAGAATCAAACATAGGCAAATAATGTCCCAAACATATTCCAAAGTGGTGCCAAAAAGTAGTCCCCACGCTGTTTTTGCTGTTTTTGAATGCTCCTCCTGTAGAGGGACAGGCCCGACCTCAAGCCCAGGCTTCTTCGGCCCGTGCGCCCGCGCCGCGGCCCGCGGCGCGCCCCGTGGGGGCTGTCGCCAGGCCGCTTCGGCTCCAGCCTCTCCTCTCGAGGCCCCCCAGGTGGGGTCCGAGTAGACTGATGGGCCAGTTTTCCACCGCCACCACCATAAGTTGGAGAGGGAGGTGGTCCTCCTCCTCCTCCTCCTCCTCCTCCTCCTCCTCCTCCTCCTCCCTCTCCTCCTCCTTCTATTCGTCCTCCGCCTCTTCGTCGTCTTCCTCCTCCTCCTCCTCCTCCTCCTCCTCCTCCTCCTCCTCCTCCTCGTCCTCCCCTCCAACTTATGGTGGTGGTGGTGGTGGAAAACAGGCCCATCATAGATGGGGTCGGAGGATCGCGCGCCGCATCGCCGAGGCATCGCCGATGCATTGGTTGTGCGCCGGCGATGCTCCGTCGATTTCGGCGATGCATCGGCGACATGGACGTGGAGACTCTGGGCATCCACGACGCGCCGCGTCGCCGATGCACCGGTGATGCGGCGCGATCCTCCCCGGGCCCCACCTGGGAAGCCTGGGTCCTTGCCCGCCCGGAAGCCGCTCTTGACGGCGGCCTCGCACACCGCGCCCTCCTGGGGCGGAGCGCGGGAGAAGGAGGAGGGGGAGGAGGAGGAGGAGGAGGAGGAGGAGGAGGAGGAGGAGGAGGAGGCGGAGGAGGAGGAGGAGGAGAGGAGGAGGAGGAGGGATAGGGGGAGGGGGGTGGAGGGGGAAGGGGGGGAGGGGAGGGCAGGGGGAGGGGAGGGGGAAGGAGGAGGAGGAGAGCAGGAGGAGGAGGATGAGGAGGAGGGGAGGAGGAGAAGGGGGGGGGGGGAGGGGAAGGGGAGGGGTAGGGCGGAGGGGGAGGGGGAGAGGGGGAGGGGGAGGGGGGTGAGGAAGGAGGGGGAGGGGGAGGAGGGAGGAGGAGGAGGAGGAGAGAGGAGGAGGAGGAGGAGGAGGAGGAAAGGAGGAGGAGGAGGAGGAGGAGGAGGGGGAGGGGGACCCGCACGCCTCCGACGCCATGGCGTTTTTTTTCTGTCCACCCGTGCGCTGCCCTGCTGCCCGGGTCTTGCCCCGGGTGCTCTCGCCCAGGCTCGGGCCCCCGGGGCCCTCAGGGGTCGCTGTGGCTGGAAGGATGGCGCAGGACGGTGGGGTCCGGGGTGCGGGTTGCGATCCGTGCTGCGCTCTGTCCGAGGCGTCGGCTCTCGGGGCTTCTCCTCGATCCTTGGCCCCATAGGGGGGCCCAATCTCGGGCCCCGGGGCCAGCGAGAGTGGGTCTGGGGCGGGAAAGCTGACCCCCGGGGAAGCGGTCGGGGATCTCTGGGGCCGCAAACTGAAAGAGTCAGATCGGCGGATAGTTGGAAAGGCGCGGAGGCGGAGGAGGAGGAGGAGGAGGAGGAGGAGGAGAAATAGGGGGAACAGGAGTCCCAATAATTTGGGGGCGAACCGGGAGCGACAAAGAGGGCGCTCGACTACCCGCGGTCTCTCGGGTTCGTTGCCGCGGGCCTACTTCTATTCGGCGGGGTGAGGCAGCAACTGACGCCACCGCAGGAGCCCGTGCCACACCAAACGGCGACGCGAGTGCGTCAGCAGTCGGCGAAGCTGCGGTATTCGTTCTGTTATAGATATGGAAGGCCGGCGAACCCCACTGCAGAGTCCGACGCAGCGAGAGGTCGGAGTCGGTGCCAGGCGGGACCACAGCGGCGGGGCCCAAAACTCCAGGATGCAACGGTGGTTTGAAGGGGCGGACTGTCAGGGAACCAGAAGAGGCTCCGAAGGACGGGGCAGGAGAAGCAGTGGGGGAATGGATCGGGCTGCTGACTGCATCCGAGGACGCAGGAGCGTGGTGCGAGGACGCGAGTGCGACCTGTCGTCGCCCAGCCGCCGCTCAGTCTTGAAAGTGGCCCAACGCCAGCTCGTTCGGACGAGCTTGAACTCCGAGGCCAGGGCGCCACAGCGGGTGGAAAGCTATCCCAGGGGAGGGCAATTGACAGATGCCCCAGGATTCGAAGCGATTGCGAAGCGTGCCAAGAAACGTCGTGCTGAATGCGGCGCGGCGATGCCCCGCAGCCGCCACGCGCTGTGCCTTTTCGGGCGGCACGGAAGGTCTGCCGCTGTAGCTTCGCATGCTTCATCCGGCGCAGCCTGGTTCGCGGCGGCCCGTGTTATCCCGGTGCGTCGCGAGCTGGGTTCTCTGCACATCTGCGTACTTTCGCACAGCCTCGAGTGCTGCCTCTGCCTCCTTGACCCGCTCTCGGCACGCATCGATATGCTTCTGTGTCCGCGTCGCCCTGCCCAAAAGGTCCCGAGGGGCTTCGAACCGCGGTTAGCGGGTTGCTGCTCTTTCTGGGGCGGGGGGGGCTCCTCAGCAAAGGCCACCACCTCATCCATAGACTTTCCCGATTGCGCTTCAAAGACGCAAAGGCGCGTGGATCTGAACGATGAGCGCATTGTCTGGGGCGTGCTCTTTGCTCTGGCCTCCTTCCCCTCCTTCGGAACGGTTGGGGCCTCCAGGCGTGTCTCCGTCCCCTTTCGCACCACGGGGCGACCCACTCGCCCAGTCACCCTGGAGGCGGGCTCCCCACGGAGGGGAGTCTCCTGGGCGCCTCTGGTTGTTCTGAGCTTTGGGCAGGCCGACCTTGCCACACTCACGACAATGGGTTCGCCATCTGAAGTAGGCATAGCGACAGCGCGAATCATTGCAGACCCAGCTTTGGAACTGCTGTCCTCCCAGACCATCGCGGCCGCCTGACATGGGCTAAAGAGGAAACTGGGTGGCTCGAGCCAGCTGCGCCACTTCTAAGTGTGCTGACTCAAAGGTTTGTCAGCTCGAAACCTGGAAATGTTGAGGGGGGGAGGAGAGGAGGAGGAGGAGGAGGAGGAGGAGGAGGAGGAGGAGGAGGAGGAGGAGGAGGAGGAGGAGGAGGAGGAGGAGGAGGAGGGAGGAGGAGGAGGAGGAGGTGGGGAGGGAGGGGGAGGAGAGGGAGAGGCGGCGCACTGGGGGCCACGAAGGCCCTCGTGGGCGGGTCGGTGTGGCACGCGCTGCAGGGGAAGACCCGGTGCTGTGGCCGCAGGGCTGCGGCCCGCGCTGCGGCGGCACCCCCGCTGCGTCGGATGCGACGACGTGCTCGCCGGGGAGGCGCGCGTCCGACCCGAACACAGAGTTAGGGGGCCACGCGCGAACCCTACCCCTACCCCCCGAGCGGAGTGAACCCCACCCTCCCCCTCAGAAATCGTGGGGGGTAGGGGTACGGTTCGCACGTGGCCCCCTAATAGTATACACATCTTGTAGCAGATCGTTCCCAAAGCGGTGTGGCCAGACAGCGACCGCCACGACGCATACGCTATAAGATTTCTCGGTGCGCGCGTCGCCCTTGGGGGGGCGACGCAAGCATGGTATGAGTATGTAGGGGTGACGCCGATGGGAGATCGACGGAGACACAGACATGTGGCACGCTCCTCGGCGGGGTCATCACTGCTCCCTGATGACGGTACGGAAACGTGGCAAACGCACCAACCGCACCGCATTCCAAAGGCAACTCACTGACTGATCGCACGGTTACCACTGCAGTGCATTCGGCGACAGCGCCGCTCCGTTATACGTTCCCTGCGGATCAGGGAATACAGCGACTTGAGAAAAAGCAGATCGCAGAGCAACTCCTCCTCCTCCTCCTCCTCCTCCTCTTCCTCCTCCTCCTCCTCCTCCTCCTCCTCCCCCTCGTGTGCAAAAGCATCTAGGTGCTTCTACGCCAGCACGACATGCTCAGTACGGCCGCGAGCATCGTGCAGGGGGATGCGTCCAGGGCAGGGCCCCGGCCCACACCCCCCATTCTTCTGCGACGCGGCGCCTCTGAAGAGGCTCGTGGGCGCTCGTCGACTGCCTCCATGACATCTCTTGAGGAGTTCCAAGCGCCTGCATTGCGCCTCTCTGGCGCCTTCGAAGAGGTCCCCTAAGACTCTTTGACACCTCCCTGGGTGCTTCTTTCTGGGCGTGCTGGCGCCTGTCAAGAGACCCCTTCCACGTTTGATCGATTGCACGATGACGACCCCACCGAGATCCAGTGGAGCCCCAACCAGGCCCCAGGAGAGCACCGAGAGTCGGCCCAGGAGAACGACGCAGCCTCCCCAACTGGCTTTAGAAAACTCCATTGCCTCCAGCGCGCATTCAAAGGGACGCCGAAAAACATTCAGCGTGGCATGTTGGAGTCGTGCCCGTGCTGACTTCTGGTGTCGTCTTGACCGATGCCCCCGCGTCATCTTTCCCACAGGAAGGTGAGAATCCTTCCTGTTTGGACCGCCAGAGGCACGCGAAGAGCAACATATCCGAACGTGGACCGCCAGTCACGACGTGCGCAGCAGAAGAAGCATGTGCGAACAAGGCGCACGACATTGTGCACAACGTGAACTAGTAATGAGCGCCTGGCCCCATTAGTGGTTTCACCCCTCCCCTGCTCTTTGGTAGACGGCGGTCGGACACCCTCGGTGGAACCGACCGGGGCTCGTTGGTAGTGCACGCCCAAGCGTTCATGAAGCACGAGCGCTCCCTTCCGAAAAGACTCTGCAATTCCCAGGTTGATGCCCCATGTGGAACACACATGTTGCGAAACATTCACATTGTATCGGCACGTGCGTACAATGAGAAACTCTGGCTATGCGCTACGATACAACGTGAAAACCTCAAGCCCGCATTGGAATGTGTAGTGAGCAGGTACTCTGATCACGAGACTCAATCGCAGGCGAGGAGGATGCATGTTCTCTCTTTGCACGTTTGTGGTCGCCCCCTGCATGTGCATAGTGCGAGCAGCGTGGCGCGGGGGAGACAGTAGGGAAGACGACGTTGTGAGCAGGCAAATGGGCAAGGGGGAACTGGGCAAGAGGAGAGAAGGCTCCCGCCCCACGTCTGTCTGCTGCAGTGCGCGCACGCGTGGTCTTCCAATATCTGCCAGCTGAATGCTGCTACCGTTGCTTTTGCACTCTGGCGGCCGCGGGGCGGTCAATCCGGCAACAAATACGGGAGGCGTCAGAGCTGGCAGTGACCAGCGGTGGGACCGCTGCGCAGGCAGCAGAACAGTGGCGCCGAGAACAGACAATCTGGCGTGCCAGCACAAAGGAGACTCGCTGGCGCACTTGCGCTCACACCATGGCAATGGCTTCGCCAGAACGCACACGCACCACCCTGCAGGCGTACCCGTGAAAAGGAAGCTTCAAACACGCTGCCAGAATTCTGCGATCGCAAACAGCCAATGTAGCCGAAAATTCGCCAGCTGTGTGTATCAGACTTGCCTTTTTTTGAATTTCTGCAACTAGCCATTTGGGCCGAACTGTCGAATATCAGCGACTCTATCGGCCGCACGATTCATGCTTGACTATGGGTGTGTCAGATCTGCACCTAGATTGGGTACCCTGTGGCCAATGATGGAGGCCAGTGATGGCCACAGAGGTAAGGTTCACACAATACACACCAAGGCAACCACGCTGATACAAAGAACAACGAAGTACTGCTAGAGTGCTCTTTATGTCAGCATCCCTGGCAGCGCCACTGACACGACACTCGACCATCACACTGCAGGGTCATCTGGATCAGATCGCTTCGCAG